TCCGAGATGCCAACTTTTGAAAGCGCTGCATAATAACTTCATCATCAATGCTCATAAAAATTTCTTTCTCAAAGTAGCATAATAGACAATCTGATAGCATCTCATCTCCCAAACGGTTGCGTAAATCCGTCTTGACAATATTCATCGCAGAAAAACTCCTTTCAACTGAAGCTGTCCCAACAGGTAATATCAATGCCAATTCTATAAGCCGATATACCAAAGGAAAATAAGTGTGATAATTCATCTCCACCATCTTCTTTGCAAGACTTCCAAGATTGGAAATATTAGCAAAAACTTCATTCGATCTCATGTCAGAAATATAATTTTGAAGTTCATGATTAAGCTCAACTCGATCACAAGAACTGAAATCTTCTGAATATAATACAGCAAGTTCTAATAGCCTTTCTTGATCAAAACTCGCAAAACAATTTGAAGGATCAAGACACATTACACAACTTAGTAAATTTGTGTTTGTCTCTGTGAAGTGTCTATCCATTTCCGTTGCAAGAATATCAATGACCTAACATCAAGTAAAAAATAATAATAATAAATTAACCTCATTTCTTATGATATTAAAATACTTCCAAAAAAATCATATTAAAATTTAAAATTAATAAGAGTAATATACCTTTGCAAAGATCTCTCCACGAAAATGTATGTAGTTTGTCATGGGTTCACCACCTCTCATCTTCTTTCTTGATCGCCCACGAAGATAATCTTCCATGTTAGGCACATCAATTGCATGTTCTTCACAAAATTCACTAACTTCTTTCAAAAAGTCATCCCAACCATGATCTCTAAAATCTTGCAAGTTCTTTTTTACATCACCAATCATATTCAAAGCACAACCAATATTTTGATCTCGTGCTTGTAACATCTTTGATAAGGTGTTAGTCATACCTAGAACTTTTAACATAAACTTTCCGATAAAAACGAACTCAAAAGAATCCATTTTATCAAGAATGCCACTAGCACTGTTTTTAATTTTGGATGTTTCACTATGCTGGTGTAACAAATTCAGCACTGTACCAATAGCATTCCACATATCGAAAAGACGAATAAGAGTTTTGTAGTGAGAACCCCAACGTGTATCACCTGGTCGAGCTAAAGATGTTGCTTGGTTTTGCCCTCTACCAGTTGACAATTCACCTATTTCTATGCGATGCAAAGTTTCTTCCTCGTGTATTTGAAGGAGATAATCCTTCCGTTTGCATGAAGACCCAACTGTATTAACAATCATCAAAAGCTTTTCAAAGAAATCAAATATGCTCTCCCTATCTTGTGCAGCTGCAACAATAACTAACTGAAGTTGGTGGGCAAAACAATGAATATAGTATGCATTCTTGTTTTCATTAAGAATAAGTGTTTTCAACCCATTAAACTGACCGCGCATATTTGAAGCTCCATCATAACCTTGACCTCTTAGTTTTGAAAGGGACAATCCATGTTTTGCAAAAAATTCATCAATTGACTTTTTAAGAAACTTTGCAGAAGTCTCCTCAACATGAACTAATCCAAGAAAGCGTTCAATAATCTCCCCTTTATCATTCACAAATCTCAAAATTACTGACATTTGCTCTTTCACAGAGCAATCTCGAGCTTCATCAATCAAAAGTGCAAAGTTCTTTTGTCCTATCTCATTCAATATGACATTTCTCGTTTCCATTGCACAACTTTCTATAATATCTCTTTGAATGGAAGGAGATGTCATTTGATTATTCTTAGGAGCATTTATTTGCATGACTTTGTCTGCAGCTGCATTAGTCTTACAAAACCAAGATATGAGTTCGAGAAAATTACCTCGATGGATTGAACTAGAAGATTCATCATGCCCTCTAAACGCTAAACCTTCCCCTAGAAGGTATCGAGCCACTTTTACAACTGTTGCTAACCGAGTACGATAATCATCTTCAATGTCAACAGTGTTAGTCGATAAGACATAATCTATGTTCTC